TGTTTGCCAAAATTTCCTTCAAAAATTTCGCATAACTAGGCATCTGGGCTAAGGCATCTGCAAAAGGAATATTAATGTGCAATTTCTTAAAAACATCAAGGAATTTAGAAAACTGCTTATCTATTTTGTGTTGCTGAAGTCTTTCCGGGTATGGAACTGGTGGCACATATGGCTTTGGATTATCCGGAAATAACTTGCTTCGAGGTGGATCAGCTTTGGAGGGTTCAATTTCGGGTGTTTCGGCTCCGGGTGGTTCGATTTCTTTCTTCTTTCTTGCTGCTTCATTAGACAAATTTCTGCTAACTTCTTTTCCACTCCTCAAGGTGATTGCTTTTGCATTCTCAACTGGATTCTTCTCAGTGTTGCTCGGAAGGGTACCATACGGTCTTTCAGACAAATGGTTAGCTAACTGGCCAACCTGCTTCTCCAGATTTCGAATGGATGCCTCCTGATTTTGGAACCTCACATCAGCACTTTTAATGAAGTCTTGAGTTGTTTGAGCTAGCTTAGTAACCATCTCCTCAAGGTGATTGTGTTGTTTCTCCTCAGGCGGCCTAAATGATGGTGGTGGTGGTCTCGGCCCTTGCTGATTTTGGTTGCTCCAGGAGAAATTCGGGTGGTTTCGCCATCCAGGATTATAGGTGTTTGAATATGGATTGTTCTGGGGAGGCCTGCTAAAATTTCCAACAAAGTTAGTATTTTCAGGAGGATGTGTGAACGGATTACCTACCTGACATTCGGTACTAGCATGGCTTCCATTGCAAAATTCACAAGTCGGGCCTTGAATCTTCAACACTGAGTCGATCTTTTTGTTTAAAGCAGCAAACTCTGCGGCAATGGTAGTATTGACACCGACTTCATGAATTCCACTCGACTTTCTAGCAGATAGCCTCTCAATCGGCCATTGGTAGCTATTAGCCGCCATCTCCTCCAAAAGATCAAAGGCTTCCTCAGGCGATTTATTGTTCAACGTCCCTCCAGCTGCGGCATCAATGGTAGACCTCAAATTCGGCATCACTCCATTATAGAATGTATGCACTTGCATCCAAACTGGTAGGCCATGATGCGGACAACGCCTTAGTAGTTCTTTAAACCTCTCCCAAGCTTCGTACAGAGATTCACCATCCATCTGTACAAAAGAAGTAATATCGTTACGCATCTTGGCAGACTTAGCAGGAGGAAAGTACTTACTAAGGAATTTTTGAGCCATGTCATTCCAAGTCGTGATAGATCCTGCAGGAAGAGAAGTTAACCACGTCTTAGCTTTATCACGCAAGGAAAAAGGGAATAATCTCAATCTAATGGCATCATCAGTAACGCCATTATATTTTATAGTGTCACAAATTTCAAGAAAAGCATCTAAATGGATATTAGGATCATCATTCGGCAATCCACTGAATTGGACTGCGTTTTGAAGCATCTGAATTAGGGAAGGCTTAATTTCGAAATTGTTAGCTTGTATGGTTGGCCTCCTAATCTTTGATGTTGATCCTTGGACCGTAGGTGCAGCATAATCTTTCAAAGTCCTCCTTGGATTTTCTTCTCCCTGTTGGTTTTCAGCCATGGTGTTGTTGTTTTGCTCTCGTCGTCGCCTTAGAAAAGTGCGCTCAATTTCAGGATCAAACTTCTCAAGTTCTCCCTGTTGGCTTCGAGTCATGCAATATTCCACCCAATTCTTGTACAGAGTCGAATTCCTCTTTCTTCTTTTTTTTTCTGTAAAATCAAACTAATAAAATTAAAATAAAAAAAATAAAAAAAATAATGTTAGACTAAACCAAGAATTGCTCGGTATTAATATTAATTGATAATTATCAAATCAATCCCCGGCAACGGCGCCAAAAACTTGTTCGTAAAATTCTGCACGTGTCAACGAACGTGTTGAACAAGTAATATAATGATGAGAAGAGTATCGTCCCACAGAGATTGATGATAATAAACCAATTAAATATTAAAAATGGACTAATTCTAAAATTTATCTAACTGATCAAACTATTAATTGAGAACAAATAAAAATTGACAATTTTTAAAAAACGAAATTTTATAAACTAAAGGCAGATAATCAATCAGGTAAAATATGTTAGAGCATCCGATTTCACCATAACCACTAGATATGAATTTCGGATCATTATGCATACAAGAACAATATCAAACATGTGATAGCGGAATTCCCTAGTCTATTTACTATCCTATCTCTAGGTATAGCAAACCTACTCAGTTTATCAATTCACTATATTTCTATGTGAATTTAAATAAACATAAGCGCATTAAAATCTGTGAATATTCCCGGTTTACAATGAATCTTTTGGACCACCTTATCACCGAAAGCTACACAAATAACATGGTATATTTCTATCCACATTTAATGCATGGTTATATATTATAAGGAGCAATTGCATATTATTACTTCTCAGTCTCAAACATGCACATCGAATCATTCAAGTGGTGGCCAATCACCTAAACGCATTAAGCACAATAATATATAACTCACATGAATGAAATTAGTTGCAAAGCATAAAAAGCATGAAATTCATATCATCATGGTTAGGCTACATCGCAGCTCTAACAAAGAAAATTAGAACATAATAGAAGAAAAAACGAAAATATAAATTAAACCAAACATCTTGAATCAAAGAACAAGAATTCTGTCACCACTTTTGTCTTCTCTTCAAAATACTTGAAAAACTCTCAGAACACTGAAAACAAAAAACGATCTAAAAAAAAAACTCCATGTTCCCCCAAGTTATCATATTTATATGATAACATCCAAGACTCCTCTCACAAGGCAATTGCTTCTTTTTCGTATAAAATTAGGGAATAAATCGCAGAATTCCCAATGTGATATCCACCTTCTAACTCTTGTCTGGGTTGCATATTCCTTTCCTTCTTTTTGCCATATTTTCCTTATTTTCTCCATATCTCAATATTCTGCATAAGCAAGGAAAAATTAAGTAAATAAAAGGAAATCCAAATATATTCTAACAAATATTGCATTATTTATTGCCTAGAGTAGATAAAATAACTCTATTTTTATAGAGTTATCATGAGGACACCTCCGAGGAGGTGATGATTCCACCGAGTCTTCCATTATTTATTGGCCTAGAGTAGTGTGGCCTTAGCTAAAAGTGAGCCTATTTTTTAGCTTTTTGTGAGGGCATACTTTTGACCTTATTTTGTGCCATAGCTCATTTTTCCCTAGTTTTAGCCTGCTTACCACCTTTTTTGACCAAGTATGTTATTGTTTGGGTTTTTTTTTTGTTTGTACTTGTAAATATTGTACAAATGGCTTTAAATAGTAATATAAATGTGTAATTATTTTCTGCGACGGTGTTTAACGTATGGCTATCCTTGGTTCCTATTGAAGTTGTCTAGGTTTGCTTATTTAATGCTTCCGCTTGTGCTTGATCTCTGTTTGATCATGGGTCGGCGACGCTTCCTGAGACGTCGCAATTTATCAACCAAGGTAGGGATGTGCGTGCCGAGGGATTCGGGGTGTGACAAATTGCATCACACTATCTGCAAAGCAAAAACTTGCCAAGTTCAATAAATTATCAACTTTGAAAAGTAAAAATTACAACTATATTTGGAGACTCTCTAAAAGTTCTTCTCCTAGTTGAAACAGGAAACCTCTAAACAAGAAACATAATTGGAGTATACATAAGATCCTACTACTCAAACTTAATAAACAAGAAAAAGAAAAGAAAAGGAAACTTCATAAAATCCTAATAATACTCAAATCCTAGTTGATAATTTTAGTGATTAAACTTCAAGAAGAATCTTGATCCTTATTTGAGTTTCAAAGTCAACCTTCCCCAAAAACTTGGTAGTCATCTTGCATTATTTAGTCGGCTGCATCAGGCTTAGTGGGTGGTTTGATTGTCTTATACTATCTATGAATGGGAATCCAATTACAATACTATGTACAAGATCTTTGTGTCCTTGCAGTCAAACGGGTACTTATTTGACAAAAGATAAATAATTTGTAGCAATATCCCACGTCTTGTAATAATAACATCAGTCGAATTTGAAGTATCTTTATCATTAGTTATTACCTAACAATAAGAATAACACCATACTTTACAATTAATTTACATCTGTCATGGAATACCAATCTCAATCATTATATCAGATTTTATGATTCCATTGGATGAAATTCATGATCCACAATCCATAGATTTATTTTTTTGATTAAATGACTCATATTGCCGTGTGACAACTAAGGGTGACCCCTAAGTGGTTATCATGTCATTCAAAATTGTGGCTACCTACCTAACACAATAAATAAATGAATATCGTTCCAGGTTCAAAGCTCAAACCGTGAAAAACAAATTGACTCGTGTAATCTATCTAACTAAACAATAGTGCCAACTTGATTAACAACCTAACCTATCTTGACTGTTTATATTTAGTTCAGTAAGTTCTCAGATAAGAAATCATACATGACTTTTGTTTGCATTGTGGTTACAAATTACAATTTGATCATACCATATAAATATAAAATTTCATGTAAACCTAGGATTTTGTCAGCTTACGACTAGTTTCTTTTCAAACTTACTTGACATCGATGAAGATATGCATATTGTACATATGCCATGTCAGTCGGGTTAGGATTGGAATGACCCATTCAATCTGAATTAGTTAAAGGGTTATTCATCTCTTGTAATTTGTTGACCTATTTAACAAATGGGTCATGTTCGAATAGAGTTTTCTAATAAAATTTTTGTTAAGCTTATCCTGCTCAGATTGACCTATCCAGCAATCCATTGTTAACTTGACATTGACAGACATGACCAGTAAAAATGGATTGCCATCTCCATTAGCAGCTGAATGTTCGCCGAGCAAGTTTGCAGTTTGCATTGCATCATGCAGATTGTAAGCAATTCAGAATCTTCCCAAGAGAGATTAGAGAAGAACACGTTCTGATGATAAAGGACTGTTGCAGGAGGAATTTTTAGTTGAGAAGTAATGAGGGTGACATTCAAGTAACAACATAGAGAACTTACTTCGACATCATGCAGTAAACCTGTACCATCTTCAAGTCCCAAGACAACCTTGCCATCAGGATGCCAGCATAATGATGTTATACATTTACCTGGAGTAGATTAGAATGATTAAGAAGAGCCAGTATTGAAGACACACATTGAAATGTGCAAAGAAAGGGAGTTCATTATAAACAAAAATGAACACAGAGAGAGAGAGAGAGAGAGAGAGAGAGAGAGAGAGAGAGAGAGAGAGAGAGAGAGAGAGAGAGAGAGAATGAATAATTTGTTCCCATTAAATTCACAGAAGAAGAGGAAAGATAGAGCACACATTAACAGAGAAAATGTTAATCAAAATTTGTGAAGTGAGGCAAAACGTCATAACTGTACAAAATAACCGAGAGGGATATCGGTCACTTGATATGGGATTTCTTTGGGCTAATAGGTCATCTAAAGCGAGGAATCTATATCCTGTTGGCAGGCTCCAATCCAATATCTGAATCAAAAGACAAATCTTGTTGTTCAACTATGGAGCCTCAATGTGGAGTGGATGCACGAAAGCTTACTTCAGGCGAGGATTACAAGTGTACTAGTATTTATGACTTAGGATCTTAACAAAAACCATTCAAGGATTGGCTCAAGTACTATAGGGCACTCAAAACGTTCTCCATATCTAGAAAACAATATGACGAGCAAAGCAGTCAGATGTTTCTAGAGAAAAAATCTCCTCTCTAAATTTTTCCAGTGAGAATAGACAGCAAGAATTACCAAGGCCAGGCATCTAATCCTATGCTCTTACGAATTTGAATTACCAAAAGATTAAGTCATAGAGGAACTTAACATACTTGGATGCAACTCCCCCTACCCTCCAAGTCTCTTTGCTTTCTCCAATTCCTACCTCCGTCCCTCTCGACCAGATTGTCATACAAGTACGCAGCACAGCATGAGATATATCCTATTCACAAGTTCAACTCCTACCAGCGAACTTGATTAATCAATATGATATGACGAAATGCCCCTCTGTAATGAAAGAAGATTAATCAAACTTCAAGCAATACAAAATGTGAGAAATTTTCTGCCTAGAGTCTATATTTCAGTATCCACTAAATCTCTCCTTGTTTGTAGGGCACACACAGTTAGTAAAAGAATGCTCGATCAGTAAAAGAAGAGGAGCCAGCAGTAAAATTACATTTGTGAGAGTCACCATCAGAAATCTAAGAAGATCTTTTTAGATGCCTGATGAACATTTAGATGGTATTCTGGAGGGGCTAAACCTGCGAACTCCAAGTGGGGCATCAAGCTTTTCTGCATCTGACATAGCTAATCTATCTAGCATAAATGGCAACAACCTGGTTGAGAAGTTGATAGAAATCAATTGTGCCTGTAAATAAAATCCCTCAATTCAACTAATACCAGCTTGGAATTCTTTTACTTGCAAGTAAGTCGTCTCTAGATTTTCCACTCGCATCACCATCATTCACTCTTCGTTGCTGTGTGAAAAGACCAACTCCTTAGTTCGACGTTCACCTTCTCATTTAGACTTGCACGCACTTTATACCTCTATTATTCGTCCAATTCTCCATTGACCGCAATTCGAGCTAGATCGGCAATTACAGTTGGTTCCTCTCGGGAAAAGGAAGCGTGGCACATTTAGGAAAAGCGAAAGAATTAACATGAGGAACAAACACACTGTGTGACATCCCGAAAATTGTCCATTTAGGATTTATGAAATGCTTGGTTTTATAAACGTACAGTTTTGGATTTTCCCGAATCCTTCATAAAAATTCGATTTTGGCAAGAAATGAGGAAAGTGACCGTTTTACCCCTAAGGATTTATAAAGGGCTAGTATATTGGGCAAGGGCATTTTGGTAATTTTGCCCCAAAATTTAGAAAAGACACTTTTGCCCTTGGACTTTTTGAGAAATTCCAAGATTGCCCTTGGATATTTTGGATAAGATTCGATCTGGGCTGTCGATTTCAAGATAAGATCGAATCTAGGCCGTCGGATGAAAAGTAGAGAGAAGGGCATTTTGGTCATTTACCAAAATTGGGTCAAAACTTGAAGAAAAAGGCAAGACCTCTCTCTCTCTCTCCTCATTCTCTTCCTCCCCTCCTTCGGCCACACCTCCCCCACCGAACCCACCCTCTCCGGCCATCTCTCTCTCCCGCGCCGCCGCGCCACGCCGCCCGTCGCTGCCGCATCGCCCGTCCGCTGAGCCCCCACGCCGTGCCACGCCGCCGTGTCCCCCTCTCCCTCTCGGTCTCTCTCTCACGGCCATGAGCCGGCCACGTCCAAGCCACCGCCGTCCGCCGTTCGCCGATCACCCGTCCGCCGTGAGCTATACGTCGCCGCCGCCGCAAGCCGCCGCAAGATCGCCGTCGATTGCACCCGTTTCACTCTAGCCGCGTGAGTCTAGAGTCGGGTAAGTCGCGATCTAAACCTCGCCTAGTTTATCGGGTAAATTTGGACCCGTTTAGACGCGGTTTGATAGAAATTAGGGGCTGAATGGAATAGCGGGCCGTAGGATTGATTTCGGGAATTTTTGGAGAAATTTTAGAGGCTGGGAGACGGCTCTGATGGTCTGTTTGAAGGGCTGTAGGGTGCTGTTGGGTACGTGGATGGTACCGTTAGATCCGGCTCGGAATTTTACGAAAGTGCCGTGAAGAGCCGGGAGTGAAATATTGTGACTTTGAGTGTGAAAATGGCAGATTGATGGCTGTGTTGTGCTGTTCTATGTGCTGTGATATCCTGTTTGGCGTATGGTTTGTACCGTTAGGTCCGGCTCGGAATTTCGTGAAAGTGTCGAGAAGAGCCGGGAGTGAGATATGGTGATTTTGAGGGCGAAAAAGGCTGATTGATGGCTGTGATGTGTTGTTTTATGCGCTGTGGGGTGCTGTTTGTTGCGTGGTTGGTACCGTTAGGTCCGGCTCGAGATTTCGTGAAAATGCCGTGAAGGGCCTGAATTGATTTGATAACGTTTGGGTGTAGAAAAATGTCAGTTTGTGTGTTGATCGCGTGTTTGTGATATGACTGTGTGTCGTGATGTATTGGGTGCAATTGTGTGCACGGAATTTAATGCGAATGTGTGTGAGCATGAGACTGGGATCGGGCCGAGGCATTATAAGCTCGGGTTTCGATCACGTAGACCTGTCGCATTTGGCGCGGGTTGAGGAAAGAAAGTGAGAATGAAATCGGTCCGAGGCACGATCAGCTCGGGTGAAACCGAGATCGGACCGAGGCATAATAAGCTCGGGTTTCGATCACGTAGGCCTGTCGCATTTGGTGCGGGCTGAGGAAAGAACGTGTGAATGGGATCGGACCGAGTCGTGTGATGCTCGGGGCGAGATCGTGTGGGGCCTGAGGCGTGTTTACGCGGGCCGAGAAAGTGATTGAGCTAGTGGGGCAAGACGAGGAAAGTAAATGAAATTGATGCGATAGTGCGTGATCGATGCGTGTTTTTGGCATGGAAAGGTGTGGGGTTTGTGGTGCGTGAAGTGTGAAATGCGTGCGAGTTTGAATGTTGTGATTACGAACTAACGTGCAGGCTGAGTATGCCAAGAGTCCAGGTAAGTGTGACTGTGTGGCTGTGGTTGTGTGTATTGATTGATTTTGTATCTGAACTTGTCTGGAACACGTGGTAGCCTAGGTAGGGTTTAGGTTGTGACTTATTGAGAAGTGTCTCATGGTTGTTTCAACCAAATCATTTCAGAGCACCCGCCCGAGCCTTGAACCTTCCGCCGCTACCGCCGCAGCATTTTGGGATCCCGACGCACACCGAGCATTCAAAAGTAGAATATACCTTGGCTGCTAATCCCTTTTGAGGTCGAGGACGCGATCCGTAGAAGCCAGTTGGTGTGCGTGTATTATAAGTTTGATATTAAATTAGGGAGTGCTTGATGTGAATAGTTGATGGTGTAATCAGGAAATCCGTTCGGGTGTGTACTATCAGTTGAGGTGAATCTGATGGGTGTTGGAAGTGTTTGGTTATAAAGAATTGGATGTTGTATATTTATATATCGAGGTATAGATTTATGTTTAGTGGTTTGGTGATTTATTTCTTCCTGGTGTTCTCCAATTTTATTGTCCGGGTTTATTTCATTGGTTTCCGCCGTGATCGATCTCTGATGGAATCGTGAGGTCAGCGACGTTTCCTGGGACGTCGCACTAATGGGACCTTAGAGAGGGATGTCGCGAGCTCGATGGGGTTCGGGGCTTGACACACTGAATTAAAAAAAAAAAAAAGAGAAAACTTTCTCGAATCGAAGCAATACCCAGGAGAGATTGTCCACAGCCTCTTGCCAATCGAAGCGATGAAGCACCCACCTTCCTTTGAGTCCTCCGTGTGACCATCGCCAGCAAACCCTTCTACGGAATTCCACTCACGCCATCTTCACCTGCTGCCAACCGGAAGAAATCGAGCCAAAACCTCACCAAACCGAGTCGGAACACAATCGAACCGACCCGCCCATTAGGGGGTCGCAAAAAGAACGCCCGAACGTAAGCAGAGCCGAACCTGAGAAGCCAAGCGGGGCTTGTCGAACTCGAAGCCGAAACGGAAAAGCAAACGCCTGCGACCCCCCTTCGTCGGTTTTCCATTGCTAGAGAGCTCCTACTTCTTTTTAAGGACACGTCTCGTTCCACGTTGGAATATGAACCTTTCGAATTATTAATAGGTTAATTCTTATAATAATCACGCCCAGACGCGAAAAAGGGAGAAACGCTGCGTTCGGCTCTATTCCTCTTCCCGTCTCGTCTCGTTTCGTTTCTCCCGTTCCGTTTCTCGTACCGAATGTGGGGTCGTGAACTCTTTCGAAACAAGCAGCATGATGGTCTGCCGACCGGTTCCGAAAAGCACCGGCCTTTTTGTTACGATCTTCATTATTCCAACGGAAGAAAGCTCATAACGCTTGGTACGGCAAAGATTAGTCGGATCGATGGTCATCGGTAATCTTCGGGGAGTACCTAATAGTTTTGTTCTTGGAAATTCGTTACGAGAACCACGATGGAAATCGAGGAGTTTCTTTTTAACCCTTGTCTCCATTTTTGCGAAGCAAATTGAAGATTGATAAGATGGGATGTGTTGCACCGCGAATACGTCATCGTCTATCTTA